TAGTTATACAGCATTACCCACAATTGGTCAAACGTTTTAATTTGAAAAAAGAAATTTCAGCCAGCTACTGAGAACAGCTTCAAACATGTCCCATGTCCAAGCACTTGTAGTCTTTTAAAATTTACTTCCACTTTCAAGATACACCATCAGAAGGGGGCTTTCCTAGTGATTGCCTGGTTTAATCTCGCCAGGAAATGTACTGCAGCACCGCAGCAGAGGGGAGTAGGCATGGTTACAACAAATGTAGCGATGGTTAAATCTAGGGATGCATGAGCATGATGAGACCAGAATAATATCAGCATCATCAGATATTCGCTTAAAAATATCAGTATGGAACAGACGTTTCAATTTGACAGATATTTTAAAGTGACATTTGATGATGTATTTACTGTAGTTGAGAAAAGCTAAACTTTTAGGTGACGCAGGGCTACTGTGCTAAAATATCTGTTTTGTTTGCTTTTCTGCATTTTGAATTAGCATTTCTCCATAATGGTAATTAATGTAATCTAATCGCAATTTCTATATTATATCTTATATATCCGCATCAGTATTGTCATCAGCAGAAATGTATATGAAAAATATCAGCTATTAGCATCAGCCCACAGTTCTCACATTGCTGGATTTCTAGTTAAATGTTCAATTTTGGCCAGAGTGCTCCATTAACCTACCTCAATAAAATGCAATAAAGACCTAATCTGAATAATCATTCATGTAATACAAATGTCGGGTACACCTTTACGTGTGTTTGTCAGTTGGCCATTTGAAAATTTCTGCACAAAAATTGAGAGACGGACTGTCATCAGTAACTGACTTGAAAACTGATAACAATGTCCAATCTTATCCACAAAGGGCCTGTGTGGCTGCAGGTTGTCATCCCAACAAAGATGGAGAATCGGGTCAGCTCCTGCTCGACTGGAACAAAAACCTGAAGCCACACCGGCCCAACTGTGTAGAAGATTGGACGTTGACTTATAATGAAAATAAATGTCACTGTATAACACATTTGTTCTTTTCACCTTTCTCTGGATGGTTATAACACCTTGACATTTGTCTGAAATGCCAGTGCTCACTAAATTATGGAGAGCTCATCTAATTACACAGAGCTCCTCATAAAATGAGGTATAAATATAATTAACGAAACATATTTAGAAAGTAAATACAATTTGGTCATAAAAAGTGCATGGTCTCTGTGATATGATTAGTCATCGTTCACCAACGTATAACCAACAAGACTAAGGTTTGGCTCATGAAGTCATGAAATTTGGAAGCAGCATCAAAGGCGTTCCTATTCACTTACGTCATCCTGTCATTTTGTGTGAAAAAGGTTCTGGATATAATGAGCTGCTTTCTGCACAAATGCTCATTAGATCAGGACAGGGGCTGTGTATGTGCAATGTAGGTAATCGATCCTATTAATTACAAACAGGCAGTGAGTCAGTGTGACCCTGCTGTTTGGTGGTCCTGTAGCCCGAGGGAGGTGGCTTCACCGTGAGTCAGCAATCTGAGCAGGCAAACTACAGCAGCATCCCCATCCCCCTCACCTCTGTCTCTCTCTCTCACTCTCCCTCCCTTAATACTGTACTGATGCTCCTCTATGAGTGTTTCTCAGTCATATGCTTCCCCTGCTCTGCTCACTTTACCAAGATCTTTTCCCCAGTGTGAATGAAGTAAGAAGGTTGAGGTATGTAAACATACACCTGGGGTGAGTGATGTGGCAAAAACGTCATATCACGACTCTTAAGCACATCTTCACGATACACGATACACCAACACAATGCACTAGTAGCGCCAGACTAAAATAGGTACAATGTTTTTTATTTCACAAACTGCACTGCACTAAATCCAATTAAACAAGACTACTGAAGCTGTCCAGTGTTCTCGAAGAATGGACGAGTGGATATCCATGGTATGCAATAATAAACATACTGTAAACAACTGTTTAGTACAATAACATTAAATCACGATAACGATAAAATATCTTCACGTTACCCACTTCTACACCCACCCAGACCTAAAGTGCTATTTTCCAGGACAACAAAGCTAAACCACTAGAGGTGACCTAAGGGCACGAAGCAGGACACGTTGCTTAGTCAGCTAACTTTACGCTTATTTTGATCTATCTCAGGATTTTCTGTCTTAGAACAGTGAATTTTACCATGCTACATCACCATGGCAACTTATGCCGCACACCTAACCTGTTCCAGGACAGGTTAAGTTTGGAAAAGTACCTGTACCTTGGACCAATCAGACATAAGCTTCTGACCAATCAGTGACAGCTTTCTGACAGGGGTGGATCCTTCTGGTTCTTCTCGGGTCAATTTTTTTTTAACGTGGAAATCACTGCTTATCAGAGAAGGAAATAAATCAAATAAATTGAGAATATAAAGCAGTTATTACTCTAATAAGCAGTGGTGATAGCACTGCTTTGCCATTACAAGCGCTTTACTTTCACAACTCAACTCTTCACGTTTCACACAATTACCACACTTTTATGCACACAAGCATGAGGATTAATCACAGCCTGAGTATCTAAACCTGTGTCAATAGAGAAAGTTGTTAACCACTGTGGTAAAACAAGTTGACCGCGTCCGTGTTTGTTAGGTTTTGTGAAGCGTAAACTTAGTCAGGAACCTTGTCTAGGATTGAACATGATTTGTTAAACAGGTCTCTGAAGGTAGTGATTCAGCTGCATCAATTCTGGAACTAGAGAATTAATTATAATTGATCATAACGATGTTCAGTAAAGTACACTTGTTTATTTATTTTAATATTTACACTTTTATTAAAATATTGCACTTCTTGATAAAAAATAAGCTAAAGACATACAGCTTCGTGCACTGTCTCTATTGTCTATACTCCACTACTGTGTAAATAGTTTCCTAATAACGGGAGTGCTTTTAGAGTTTTTAAAGATAAGTCTAAATCGTATTTCCTAATGCTCTTCAGCTTACGACATGTTATCCTACACGGGCCATAATGACAGAGTCACCACCAGGAATGGCAGACAGATAAAATCACATTAAGATTGGACAGTGATCAGATTAAATGACAAAGAGAAAGTGGATGCATATTGTCTACACACTTAAATTGTTCCTCAATGTCAATAAACTGGTTTATCGACTGCTGGTCTAGAGAGACAAAAATCTCTGCATCTACCAGTATGACCTTCATTTATTGATCTAAATTAAGGTCTTCGGTCATCAGTCTTCCTCATTGATTTAGATGGTTATTCCCCAAAGCATTCATTGGCACATGCTGTCTTTCCTTTCCGTCGTTTAAAAAATGGTTTGGCTTCATAATTTACTATGAAGTAATGACCAAAGTGCGCCAGGAAGAACAGTAAAACTAACAACAGACCTAAACATAAAGTAAACTTTTAAAATAAGCTTTCCCAATCAAGATGGCTGGTTTCCATTGAGAAACAAACATCTAAACTTTTAGGGTACAGAGCTGCATCACTGCCTGTGATACATTACACTGTACTTACACTGCTATGGGGGGAAAAAATACTATGGTACTGCTGGAGACCCCATAAACCTAAACAATCACATAGGCTACCTGTACATAACACATTACAAAATACATTAAAACAAATATCTTGAATGCTCTGTATTCTTTATCAGTAAAATCCAGTAATAATAATAATAATAATAAGAAGAAGAAGAAGAAGAATGTGCACTTTCTTAAAGAATATAAAAATCAAAAAGTAAACTGTCTGATTTTATTCATTTAACTTAAAATGACATAAAAAAGAAAGAGTGGGCACCAACAAAACAAATTCCACTTTAATCTGACACTAGTAATACGTGTCCCAATAGCAGGCCTATTTGTAATCACATTAGAAAATGATACCGAAATATAAACAACCAAAAAATAAGAGGTTGGGGTCTCATTTCCATTGAGACAATGTTACAATACTCTTCTAAAAATACTCCATTCACTTCATACCTTGATGAAATTGCTCAATTCATTTGCTCCCTGCACTTTGGGCTCTGGATTTTTGGCTGTATTCCTGAATGTTGCAATAACTGTGGTTAACAGTTTCAGCTGCTGCTTGCCTGCTGCTATAGTTATCACTGCATATTAAAAGCAAACAATTTAAACACTGTGAATGAAACGAGCACAAGTTTGTGATCTCATCCCCTAACATTTCCCCCCAAATGATACATTACAAAACATCACAGCCAGTAACCCACCAAAACATACATTTCTACATTTCTCCCTTAATACTCCCACATAACCAGGCTCAGAGGTTAGAGCCTGACAGCACTGATCTGTAATCCTGCTGGCAGCGAAGAGATTGGTCTGATGTAAGACCCAATCTATGTCCCTGGGTCCATGGTTAACTAACATCTGTGTTTTAGAAGGTTACTGGCAATATGGACAAGCGCACAATCTGACACTCAGAGACAGGAACGAGAGCTGTAAGAGAACATGTATGAAGAAGAAGCCACAGCTCCCAACAACACATGGCGAGTGGCGAAAAACAGCCAGACACTCCTTTACCAAGCCACTGAGAGTTTGCTGTGCTTGCAGAGACCCACCTAGATCCCTTCTGCTACACCACTTTACCATGCTGAGCCCGGCCAGCTAGCTGGCCTTAACTTTACTAAACTTTTACTAAGCTAAACACAAGCAGGGAACAGAGACCCTTCAAAAAGTGTAGCAACCCATTCACAACTGAGCAGATAGTATACTTCACAAGAGGGCTGTGGCCGTGTTATTGTCCTGTTTGAACGGCACTATAAAAAAAATCACAGTCTTGCATAACTTCACGGACAGCCATATCTTCTGGGCCGTGTCACTCTCTGGCTCATTGAGACCTGAACCAGCTCCCGTTAGCTCGCCCGCTAACGCTAACTCTCCACTACTTCAGCGTCCCATCCAAAGTCAACATCACAAATTAAACAGCAGTTCGCCACCAAACCTTATCTGACGCACCATACAACGTCTGTGAACTTCTCTCGTTTACTGGCTCAGTATAATTTGTCTAAACTCACCGTTTTTGCACTGTTTTTTGACACTTTCTCGGGCGCCTGTAGTGTCGTTAGCCCAGCGATGATCCGCCCTCCGCTACAACAGCGCCTCCTTACCGACCCAACTCCTAGCCCCGCCCCCTCTGACAGAGTCATCCAATCTAAGCACTCGGAATCCAGCTGACAGCTGTGTCGTCCAATCGAAATAGAGAGTAGAGTGAGTTTGACAGGTGGTAACGCCTATCTGAGTGCTGGCCGTGTTCAATTGAAGCTCAGGGTTGCAAACTGTTCGTGAAAAAAAACGGTGCTTGGGAAGACGTCATGCTCAAGAGCCTATGCAAATGTTTTTTTTTTCTGGTTTATCTTCTTTTTCTGCCCACTTACAAACGCGGAATGGCATCAGATACGTTAGACTGTATTACACTTTTCTGTACAACGTTTCATGATCAGCCGTAGAGAACTCAGACAGAGGAAAACTCTTTAATATTCAGTTAGCAACAACGACGTACAAGTCGCATTTTCAGTCACCTCTAGAGGTGAAAAGTGCGCTTCTGATACAGTTTTCCTCGTTGAGTCCAGCTGGCTGTGCTCAGCGCCGCGGGCCTGGTCACCATGCGGGTCACCATGCGGCTCACAGACGTGCTGAACGCGGCCTGGTTCACATCCACAGCCCCGCAGCTCACAGAGCTCCACATGACAGACAACCGCAACGTACAATGAGTGACTTCAGCTCCTTTTACGGGACAGCTGAACCCCAGTGACTGTCAGGAGCTCTCACCGAACTGGACAAGCCTGCAGTCTTTGTTTACACTACGAAATATCCGGGCTTGTTTAGTGGTGTGAAACGGCGAGACTTCACTGCAGCAAATACAAGCAGACAGTGGTAAATAAAATCAGCTCGCTGAAGCTGAGCCTGTCGCTTCTTCTGGTACACTGACGTTGACAAGACTAAACTACCCACGTTTGCTCCCGGGGTTCTTCTGACAGCGCTCCTAGCAAAAAGGGTTCTATAGTATAAATAAAGGTTCTTTTAATCGTTTTCCATCATAGAGAAGAACTATGTAACCCTGCAAAGAAACATAAATGCATTCAAATGGTGTTTGAGTTGTCACGGATCTATATAAAGGACTACTTTTTTGAAGGGTGTATTCTTCTAAGTAAAGGGCACTACAGGTTACAGGTAGTTAAGTATTTTTCTTTCCTGCTCATTAAAATACAAGCAGGCCTGGATAAGATTGTGATAGCAGTAAAGAGTGTTTTGCTTGTATTTTAAACAACATAAACTTTTTTTAATCATAGATGTAAAAAATTAAAATAAAAGTGAAAATAAAGAGTACATTGAATTGTCCTTATCAAAAGATGGGTAGTAATACTATAAGAATTATGTAGCACTGTATAATGCTTCGGGCGTCATAGTGGCGAAGTGGGTAGTGCTGTCTCCTCACAGCAAGAACGGCCTAGGTTCAATTCCTGGCCGGGCGACCAGGGCCCTTTCTGTGTGGAGTTTGCATGTTCTCCCTGTGTCTGCGTGGGTTTCCTCCGGATACTCCGGTTTCCTCCCACTGTCCAAAGACATGCAGTCAGGCCAATTGGACATGCTAAATTGCCCCTAGGTGTGATTGTGTGTGTGGATGTATATGTCTATCTGTCTGCCCTGCAATGGACTGGTGAACTGTCCAGGGTATTTCCTGCCTTCTGCCCGGTGACCGTTGGGATAGGCTCTGAACTGAGCAGGGCGTAGCTATGTGTAGGCCTGGGCTTACCCAATGAAACAGGGAAAGAATATTTATAAAGTCTTTTCTTTTCTGTCACTGTATTTGGGACAAACAAATCATTACGCTCTCTGCCAAGCTTCACCTTCCTTTTCTCAGCCCTCCAGTCACTGCACAGCAACTGTTTCTATCCCCCATTGCCTTTGGTTCATTATTAGTGCGGCAGTTGAAGCTCCTGCTGTGGTTAAAAGATGTAACTGTGGGCAATTAAAGGTGAGATTCCATCTCATAGAGTATGTCACTTTCTCTTAGTCCAAAGCCAAAAGCAAATTAAAAAAAAATGTTTTTATCATCTGTTTTGTGTGAATGTGGTATTTAGAGTGCTCTTCTACCACAAAAGCTGACATGGGCTCTGTGAAAATGTCAAAGCAAACGCCTTCCATTACCTAAGACATAAATGTACCATAAATGCAAGGCACAATGCAAGATATAAAAGGACCATAAACATTTTTTGCCTGCGCTGATTAGGTTGAGTTTTGTTTTTTTTTAAGTTTGCTATGTTGTTTTTCCTTGTCTTTGCACATCTCAGCTGTCTGACTTTATCTCAGTCATGCCATCTTCATGGGTCCGTCCACCATGGCAGTGTTCTTTAGCCCATGATGATAAGGTTTATGTTTTTAAGTTTTTTGTTGTTGTTTTTTTGTCATCATCTTTGTACATCTGAGCTGTCTGATTTTAACTCAGGTATGCCATCTTCGTTGTGCAAACATGCCTCTGATAAGCAGACGTGTGTTTTATGGTGAAAGGTGTGGCAGTGCTAGTTGTGTTTATGTGAATCCAGTATTCTGATTGCCACAGTTTTGTATTAGCAAGGCAGAAGTGTTGGAATATACTGCGGTTAGCAATAGCCTATAGCCTGAT